TATATATATATATATATAATAGATAAATGGATAAATATGTATCGTGCATAAAGGCGATAGAGATAAATAATTCAAATAATTTTAAGATACTATTGATGACGCAAAAACTTGTGTTTTAATTTTGTTTTGTGTACAATGTCATTTCCGTTCCTATCTTACTTCCATCTTTTTTTTTTTTTTGCAAATGAAAACATCATCTAACCTTTGATACAGAACTTATAAATTATTTTCTTTAAACCAGGTGGGAATGCTTTAGTGCTAAATTCTTTTGAAATGTTCATTTGTAAAGGTACAGATACCTGTTTCCAAAGAGCATCGACAGGTTCCAGGTGGTCCAGCGACGGGCATTACACTTAGTCCTGAACCTCTAGTGATGGCAGCATGCTGGAAACACAAGGCTGGTCATCATTGGAGGAACAACAACGACTATCCAGGTTCTACAAAATTTATTAGATAAATAATGGGCAGGTCCACTGATGCAACATTTAACTGAAACTCGCACCCCTCCCCATAAACAGCGACGAGACCATGACCGGCAATTCCTGCTGATATCAGCGAAAAACAAGTATAAGAACGGCTTATTCCCAGCAAAGAGAACCAGGGACTGGAACAACCTTTCGAAAGGTACAGTTGAGGCGACAACACTTGACACATTTGCGTCTATTGCCTTAGGCTTTCTAACCACCAGTGAATGATACCCTCACAAAGTAGCTCTTGCAACCAGTGAAATATCCTCAACACCAGGCACAGAAACATTGCAAATCCCCACCACATACATAGGAGCCAAAATGATCAATACATTGATCGTGTGCCCTAAATATATAGAAGAAGAAGAAGTAGGCTTGCTTAAAAAAAATATGTGTCCGATTGTACTCAACTTCTCAGATGATTTACTCGGATAACGTAAAACTGTGGTTCCCAAGGGCCACCATCTTCGTTGCCACGACTCGTAAACAAAGGAGATTGAAACCAGTAAAGAACTTTAAATCAGCACGTAAAAGACGTCATGACTGCTGTCTCCTTTGCACTGTTTGTTACGGAGCACTGTGACCTAAATACACATATTTTCATAATTAAAGATCTTGATTGTTTTTTTAACAACCTGGGTAAAGATAAGTTTACAAAAGCAGACAAAATGTTATAAAGCCGTCTCGAAAAAATCTCGGCGTGATGTTTATGTATGTCAATTGGTTATTGTACAGTTGCTTTTAGTTAGTAATAAAAATTAAATAATTATCAGAAAAGATTATAACAGAGACTTAAACACGTACAAATGCTAGCATCGTCTACTGACAAATGTATGAAACCTTTTAAAACGTAAGAAGAGAGTGGTTGCTTATAACTAACAAGATGGTGATGGGATTACATCACGTCTGCAATTATTAACGCTTTAAATTGAGTTGAAAATATTGAAACAATTACCCTAACACCGGCCTTTTTAAATTTGTTATTACAATCATGCAGTCAACATCACACCAACGTTTTATAACATGGGACAAACATGTTCTGTTTGGACAGGTAATCTAAACTTGTCACACTCCACACGCCTTGTCCATCCAGGGTGACCAGATTTGATGAATAGCATCCTTCACATTCGCTGCTACATGATGCTACCTGACGCCGTGGTATCTTATGGATTGATGGCTCTGATATTTATATCCGGTAAGTCACTAATGTCAAATGTCATGTAGCCAAAGTATGCAAACCTTTCATAAGCAAATACGTTATTCCCTCCATCATTGCAGATGCATACGGGGAGGACTGGGTTCAAGTTGAAGCAATGAAAATCATACATGGTGTAGAAGAGAACCCGCCTCGTCCATTTTAAGATCTAACGCTTGTCTGTATAATATCTTATCATTACAGATACTTGTCTATACGCCAATCCACGCGTTGTTGTCTTAGTGTATACTCATCCAGAAAAGATCTGCTCATCTGACGGAAATGGTTTAGTGCAAAATATACACGGGAACACATGAATAAAGATAAAGTGATCAAATGAACATGACGCAGTGGCAAGCGTTATATGATTACATGCGTCCTTAAGATATCTTTGGTGGTTGATCAGTGATGTGTGATATTATCTTGTAATGTGTGATATTATCTTGTGATGTATCAAATATCTACGCAATGCTATCCTCTTCGGAGAGTTGGTCTTGTAATTTTCCTAGCTTCACTTTGAAGGAGTCCTCCACGTCCAAGGTAACATGATTGTGTATCTTCTACCTTCACCTCAGAGTTGTCCTCCAAGCCCGAGTTGACGTAATGGTGTATCTTCAAGCTACACAGAAGAGACGACTTCGAAGTCTTAGGTGACGTAATGGTGTCTCTTCTAGATTGACCTCAGAGGAGTCCTCCAAGCCCGAGTTGACATGATGGTGTATGACCATAGCAGCATTTTCTGGATCACAGCAATCTCTGATAGTGTAGGGTCGCTGCTATTAAAAAACAGCGGCAAAGAGAATTTGTTTTAAAAAAGGAAGCAGAACTATATTTAACCTTGAGTAGGTAAAGGAACGAATCCTGGAATAATAGGAATTTCTTGCTAATAACCAAAACGCACTTAACTCTTCAAGTAAATATGTTTCATATAAGAAAATATCTTAGATATAGTTTTTTTTTTATATAGCAGACGCAGAAAGTATGACCTCAACAAAATATTTTGAAGCAATACTTATTGGTAGAAAGGCTTTAATTTTGAAGACGAGTGTAGACACATAATGGTCCGTTTATTGTACCTTGAGAATCAACTTCTACTTGATTGAATTAGATTCGGTTACACATATTATGGATATCTTCATTAAATAGTAGATTGACTCTTGTTTCGTTCTCACTGTATTTTTTTAGGTGTCCACACTGATGAAAATGCCCCGCAGATTGTTAAAAACTGCCTGGAGAGAATTGACGCGTGCAACAAAATTGCAACAACGGATGATGAGATTATGTAAGAAGAACTTATTCATTTGTGAACTTGCGCCCCAGTTATCAAGCATTAATCTCAAAAGCTTTAAGTTTTTTGTATTTTAATTAGATTCCACGTATAACGTCACGTAGGAAGGTGAAGGAGACTGAGGAAGCACTCCCCGGCCCTGACGGGAATGTTTTCTTTGTATACGTTGGAATAGTTTAGGACATATGCAGAGGTGCAAAGGGGGGGAGGAGAGGGCCCTACCCCCAAGCTAAGCAAGTGCATGCATTTGTGAATAAAAGGTCCCAAGAAATGTAAAATTCTTGAGTGAGTACGTACTTCTGTTTGTAGGAGCATTTTTTGCCAACCCAGCTCAAAACGAACGATCAATTAGTTGTGTTTCTGTTTTCAGACAGAAAAAACCGGAAATAGTAGGGTGCTTTACGAGCTTTAAGTGCAGTGATGGGAAAGATGACCTTAGGGCGAAAGCTATGCTGGAACTTGGAGAAAGGATTGCACGTAATTACGCTAATTATTATAATTGATCTGTAAAAGGTTAATGATGGCTGAAAAATAGTTAGATTTTGGACCTTTGAAATTGATTCCACCTCTACTTTAAATGTTATGCCGTGCTCGTTACCAGAAGAAGATGCTTGGTTTTCTGGTCTTCATAAACTGTTTGTGAGACTTTTACGATGATGCCGGGTAATGCATTTGCAACGATGGCATGGCTCTGTTAGTCTGTACTTTCGCAACACCGAAGAAATCTACAAGAGAAAGAGAGAAGTGTAGAGACGAATGCAATGCGACAACGCTTTTTTTTTGCTGCCTTTTCACGCGAACTTTTCGTGCGTTAAATTTCACTGACATCATCCACACATGTGGGACGTTCAACACTGGCTCCTTGAAACTCCTTGTGTTCTACTTCAGAATATGATTCTCACACATTTTTAAGCGTTCAACGTTGGTGATAGATTTTTTTTTTCCGCCTGATTCGAAAAGGTTGTTCAGTTTCTAAAATATCTACACACTTTAATTGACTGTCAAAATTAAATATGTTGATCCTTTTTCACCTGGACTAATTCAACTACAATGTACAAATTACAATAGTTAAAATTAAATCAGTAAAATATAAATCGATGTATTAAATTGCAAAATTAGATTTAAAAAAATTAAATACATATGTGCTTAAAACCAAGTTAACAAAGAGAAACATTCAGTTGGTTTAATGTATGTTGCAGTGGCAGACTCTGAAGATATCCCAACTCAGTTGTTTTTCCCAATTCCCGATGTCACCGACAAGTCCTCAAACTTGGCAGTGATCATCAGCTTTTCCTACAAAACATTGGTCGCCAGCACTGTTGCTGTGTTCCTCTTGGCTTAGATGTGAAAGGACAAGGAACACCTGGAAACGCAATTTTTTGAAGTGTTTAGAAAAAGATATTGAAAAAAAAAACACCAAAAATTATTAAATAAGAAAGAACTTAAATATCATTGTTGTAAATAATTTATATTTCATTAGGTAACAATTGTAACCTGAATTATAGAATTTACTGATAGATTTTAATTTTTCCTCCAATGTAAGTTTTTATCAATAGGAATAGAAAAGCAATAGTATTTTTTTCTTGGATTAACGAGTAGATGAAAGAAATGAAATGTAATTGTATTCTAAATCAAATAGGTTAAGGGATTACTTAGATATTACAGGTAGTTTAATTTTTTTTAAAATAATTTTTTTGTCTTTAAACATATTTTAAGAGATTAATTTTTTTTTTTAAAATAGCTTTGCAATGTATTTAGAAAATAACTTTTCTTTTCATAAACAGTTTTTGATATTTATTTAAGAAAACATCAAATTACTTACGACAAAAAAAAATTGGAAAAAAAAACTATCACTCAAAGTAAACGTCTTATTCTAATAAGTTCTTAGTTTTCAATTTCTTTGTTTGATTGTTAAGTGGAAGATTTTCTGTCCTGTCGAAAACTTCGGATAAAAAAGTTCTTGTTTTTTTTTTTTTTACAAGAAGAGTTCGAAGCAGACATAATACCCATCAATCAACCCGCAACGCCATCCTTTGATTGTGGGCATTCCAGTGTCAGGACCGGAGAGAGAGAGAGAGAGAGAGAGAGACCACTGAGATCAAGTTTGTTAGGTGCACCCTAAATGTCAACAACATAGTTAGAAGGGAGACCGCACACGCCACTTTACCGTAAACTTTATCTTTATGCGACGCCCATTCCCTGAAACGAGAATAGCATCAAAGCATTATTGAAACGATTGTCTGTGTCAACTGGACCAAAAAAAAAAAAAAATCAGTAAAGCTTAAAAAAAACGAAAACAATTTTAATTATTCAATCATACGAATATTGATTAGTATTGATAAATATGTAGTACTATTTAAGGTCCAATTAAGTTTTTTTCGGAGTAAAATTAAATATGTTGATATGTCTAAATGCTTTGTTATAAAACAGAAGTAAAAAAAAAAAAATGAAACATTTTTTTGGGGGGTATAAATCCTTTATAAATGTAGTAGTGAGAAATGAGGGGCGGGGCTGAAATGTAACAAAAAATCGTAGACATGTTTTAAGTTAATAAAAGAAAAATATTACGCACCAAACGCAAATGCAATATTTTTATTAAAAAGAATCTCTTTAAGCGAAAATTGGGACAATATAAGAATTACTGTTACTGTTAGTCCCCCCCCCCCCCCACCCCCAGTTTCAAAGCCTAACATTTTTTCCGTGCCTCTAAACTATATTAATATTCTAATGTCCTACCAGCTTTAACCAAACGCAAATGCAATATTTTTATTAAAAAGAATCTCTTTAAGCGAAAATTGGGACAATATAAGAATTACTGTTACTGTTAGTCCTCCCCCCCCCCCACCCCCAGTTTCAAAGCCTAACATTTTTTCCGTGCCTCTAAACTATATTAATATTCTAATGTCCTACCAGCTTTACACCGCAGAAAAAAATTTCACGAACTATTTCAGAAAAATCAAAATAAAATATTGGGAACCAAACGCGCTTGAAGTAATTTTTTTTGAAAGAATTCATTTAGCATTTTAGGGATGTTATGGGGAATTTTTATCTAAATGATAAGTAATCGAATTAATAATAAACGACTTGGCCTTCTTTCTTTCTGTTAAATGCAGAATGCGTAATTTGTAGTTCGCAAAACCAAGTTAGTAAAGGTTCTCCTTTCGTAGTTAATGCACAAGTTGCAATGGTTCTCTTTTATATTTTGATTAAAAAAAAATAATCAAGTTTCTCCTGCTGTAGTTAAAATAAATTAACCAAGTTTTATAAATTTTAGCTAATAATATATAATTAGTACTGGTCCTCATGATGTAGCGAATGCGAGTGAAGTAAAGAATCTTATTTATTCTTTAATAAAACGGAGTGGCCATAGGTACATGCGTACCTATAGCAGCAAGTAGCTATTGGGACCCAGCTGGTCACGTGAGGGCTTTATAATATTCGGTTGGTCATGTGACGGTTATGACGTATACTTCCTGTGTTTGCCATCTTAGACTTAGAGCCATTCCTATCAATCGAAGAATGAGCAATATTTTGAAGACGTTCATGAACCGGTAGCGAAGAACAATGTGACGTAAAGCTGAAAGCAAGTAAGAATGCGTTTATGTTGATAATTTTATTTATTTTTTTAATTCTATTTTAAATATAGTTCTATAGATAATCTACCACTTGAGCTTCGGTCAAGAAAAAATCCAGCACCCACGTCATTTCAATTTTGCTCTAATATTTAAGCCACATTCTTTGTGCACCGTAAAATAGCACTTTTTAAGCAATCTAATCGATTTTTGAAACATTATACTTATACAAGAAGACATACCTCATTAACTTCACTTGACTCTATCAAAACAATGCCTCGACCCGCGCACTTTTACGTGGGCACGAGTCGAGGCAACCAAGATGGCGGCCATGGAAAAATGAAATAATTCGCGTTAAATTTAAAAATGTATGAAAAAATTGTCAGAAATCGATCCCTATGCCTAATCCGAACCCTAAATCACTAAATCTATCCCTATGCCTAACCCGAACCCTAACTCACTAATTAAATCTATGCCTAACCCGAACCCTAAATCACTAAATCTATCCCTATGCCTAACCCGAACCCTAACTCACTAAATCTATCCCTATGCCTAACCCAAACCCTAAATCACTAAATCTATCCCTATGCCTAACCCGAACCCTAACTCACTAAATCTATCCCTATGCCTAACCCGAACCCTAAATCAAAATCGATCCCTAAATACTACGCCTAAAGCCACTAGTAAAAACACATGGAATTTACGTAATGTGGCAAGAAAACGATACAAATTAACAAAAAAATGCCCTAAATGATTATAACATAAAGAAATGATGAAAATCCAACTTACAGTTTCATGAAATACACTTTTACACACTTTATTTCAGGTTCCAACGCAAATATAGCCACAAAATGAATAAATCTCCACACCCCACAGGCACCCCAAAGATATCAAATATGGCGGAACAACCGAAATATGATAATGAGTCAACCAATGAAAATTTTACAATTATAATTAATCAACCAATAAAATTAATTCCGAAAATTTAACTCTTTTAACAAAAAAATACGAAAAAAATAATGCATTCTCCAAATGTAAACAAAGGGTGATAAACACGCCTAAATCTCCTCGGGCCCGATTCTCTTAAATAGCCAACACATTTAATTGATATAGCATACACGCTGCACAAAACCAACTGCTAATTTAATAAGAACAGAGTACCAAGTAGTAGGTAGTTCGGTAAGATCCGGGAAGTGCAGAAAACCGGGTATCGTGATTTCGTTGTCAAAATGTCGACCTCCACTTTTTAATTTACAGAGAGTCACGTTGTTTACGACTTTTTACCTATGTATATAGCCCAGCATGTTAATTCTACTTCCGCCCACAACTTAGAGTAGGCATGTTGTGTTACGATTAGACACTTGAGTCCCCCAAAAAATTTTGGGGCTTCACTTTGAAAATGGAAGGTAAAATAACGCAATTTTTACTCATTCATATTTTTTGTGTGGAAAGGATCCTTTCTTTGAATTTCAGGGACTTTATTAGGTACTTTGACACAAAATTTAAATATGGCTGCAACTATTAGTACCCGGGTACTAGAAGTGTGAGGTGGGATTAAAAAACGATTAAAAATTTTATTGTTGGGTTTGTAAGACAAAATGAGATATCAAATGAAAGAAAATTGAATGAACTATATGTTTGTAAACTTAATTCTCCAGTTAAAATAAAATAAACTACCACAAATGACATTCGAATAACACCGAGTCAAAATGGACTCCGACACACATCGCCGCCATTCGCACCCGGGTACCATTAGTCTCAGGCAAAGAATTTGATGTATTTTAATAAGACTTTTATATATAGGCTTAACTAAATATATATATTATTATCTAGACTAATAGAATAAGTATAAGTGAAAAATATTGGCTTAATAATTAAACTTGGGCCTAAATAGACTATAGGATTGTAATTACTGTTGTTTATAATTATTATTGATATGTAGGCCTAATTTAACTAATATTCTACCAAAAAAGTAGTCATTAATAAGAGAATAACAACTATTATTATCGGTATTACTATCATAAAACTATTAATTATTGTTAAATGATGAAGAACTGACTGAAGAACGATATACTGAGTACTGGTGCACACAATTTTTAACGTAATAAATAAAACTTAAAATCAAGCCTTGGTCACTACATAAACCTTTTCAAGTTTGGTTATAATTATAATCTTTTCTTAATTTTTTGGGGGTAAAATTATTTATCTTAAACTTCTTATAATATTCAGATGTTTAAAGTTTAAGGATTTAAAAGTAATAAATCACTGCATAATTGACAGTGATGATAGTCATTTCCGGCTTCTCGATGAAAAATAAATTTCATAATTTTGGGACATTTTCGTACCCCCACTCCTTTGGGAGATGCATAACTTGTCAGGGGCAAAGTCATGACAATAACTCAAAAAAGGAAAAAACTCATACACTGAATGTAGTTTGCACTCAACTAAACCTTATTTGCCTAAAATTACTAACAAAAAAGTTTTTTTGGTGATTTTTATACCTACCGAGTCATTATAATAATACTGTCAGTGATACACAAAACATATCGTAGCATACATCAATATATCACCGGAACACACAAACTGATACGTCAGTGATGAGAAAAGCAATTATTTAATTAAAAAATGTGACGGAGTATGCATTTTCCCAATGATATCGTGTAGCTGTACGCCATATTGTAGAACATGTTTTTTCGACATTTTAGGACATGCACAGAACGGTGCGCGGACAAGTATTATTATCCCTAACTTTATAAATAATGGTATTAACTACAACATATCCAAGTCCAAGACATGCTAATTTAGGCCCAACCGGATAGTTAGAAATTTACTCGGAAATTTTAATCACGTGTGTCCCGAAATTACCTATTATCGTTAATATTTTTTGCTATGGTAAATAACCTGATTTATTCTGGAAATCCAGCCTATTACCTCCTAATAAATTATTTAAAAATAAAAAGAAAATAATTAATAAAACAAACACATATTTTTAATATGATTTGATGCTTTTATTGAGGGATATTAGGTTAAAAAAGCCTAATTAATTACAATTAATAGTTAACTATTAGATTTATATACTGTTATATGTATACTATAAACTATATATAGATAGATAGATAAATAGATAGATAGATAGATAGATATGTAGATAGATATGTAGATAGATATGTAGATAGATATGTAGATAGATATGTAGATAGATATGTAGATAGATATGTAGATAGATATGTAGATAGATATGTAGATAGATATGTAGATAGATATGTAGATAGATATGTAGATAGATA